TTTGATACAAGGTGAAATCTATGTTAGACCTGCTTTGTAATGTGTCATGACAACATTTTTGATATTATGTAGTAAGTGTTCTACTGATGTTACGCATATATATAGGTAAAGTATGAAATATGAATATATATATTGATGAAAGGTCTAAGCTCGGCTCGCACGGGAATGGAATGAGTCAGGACACTAATGACTAATTGGTTATTGTAGATCACATCAGTACACATGAACAGAATTCGTGACAATGTTCAATTTGATCATTCAGGTGATATTTTAATAAACTGACAGACAAGTATTGACCAGTATCTGGTTAACATAGAGATGCTAGAAATATCAGGGTGTGAATCCATACTTATCACAAGATACTTAATGTTTCTCTGTTTGATTATTTTAGAAGCATTAGAGGCACTGGAATTGTGAAGTATCTTGTGAAACTTGAAATTGTAGAACTGGGAGCTGTTTTGAATCACCAGTTCTCATAGGAATAGCTAAAGTATTGTTATTTCTGTTGAAACACAAACCTACATTTCATCCTTCAATTTTTTATGTCTGATAGATTTAATGAATGTTTATATATTATAGAAATTACAAGTGTTCATGTCTTCAAAAAATTATGAGGCATTCATGTCTTATAGGCATCCAGGGCATTCATGTCTTGTAGACATCAGGGCCATTTATGTCTTATAGACATTAAGAACATTCATGTCTTACAGACATCAGAAACATTAATGTCTTATAGGCATCCAGGGCATTCATGTCTTGTAGACATCAGGAGCATTCATGTCTTATAGACATTAGGAACATTCTTGTCTTATAGACATCAGGAACATTAATGTCTTATAGGCATCCAGGGCATTCATGTCTTGTAGACATCAGGAGCATTCATGTCTTATAGACATCAGGGCCATTCATGTCTTATAGACATCAGAGGTATTCATGTCTTATAGACATCAGGTGCATACATGTCTTATTAACATGAGGAACATTAATGTCTTATAGACATTAGGAACATTCATGTCTTATAGACCTCAGGAACATTCATGTCTTATAGACATCAGGTGCATACATGTCTTATAGACGTCAGGAACATTAATGTCTTATAGACATCAGGGCCATTCATGTCTTATAGACATCAGAGGTATTCATGTCTTATAGACATCAGGTGCATACATGTCTTATAGACATGAGGAACATTAATGTCTTATAGACATGAGGAACATTCATGTCTTATAGACCTCAGGAACATTCATGTCTTATAGACATCAGGTGCATACATGTCTTATAGACCTCAGGAACATTAATGTCTGATAGACATCAGGGCCATTCATGTCTTATAGACATCAGAGGTATTCATGTCTTATAGACATCAGGTGCATACATGTCTTATTAACATGAGGACCATTAATGTCTTATAGACATTAGGAACATTCATGTCTTATAGACATCAGGGGCATTCATGTCTTATAGACATCAGGAACATTAATGTCTAATAGACATCAGGGCCATACATGTCTTATAGACATCAGGAACATTAATGTCTGATAGACATCAGGGCCATTCATGTCTTATAGACATTAGGAACATTCATGTCTTATAGACATCAGGGCCATTCATGTCTTATAGACATCAGGAACATTAATGTCTGATAGACATCAGGGCCATTCATGTCTTATAACATTAGGAACATTCATGTCTTATAGACATCAGGAACATTCATGTCTTATAGACATCAGGAACATTCATGTCTTACAGACATCAGGAACATTCATGCCTAAAAAGATATTAGGGGCACTTATGTTTTATAGATATTAGGACATTTATTTGACAATTACAGTGTGTTGTTACTCTTTCTTGAAATATACTGTATTAATGTTTTCATATTTCATATGTAGATACCCCTTAGTTCCCAACAATTAGGTGCCTTTGTAATTATGTAACTTCAAGTCTCAAAGTTGGCAGGCATGGGTCATCTTTGAAATTGACATTTGAAGGTGGTCAATGCTCAGTAATGCTGTTCGTCAGAAAGAACTGGATGGATCTTTATTACTATCATATGTGTGTTTTGAATTCTTTTGTTTTATTGTGATACCCTTGGTTATAAAGTCATTACCATGCGACTAATGTAAGAGCACAGAATTGTAAAGGGAGAGAACCATTAAGATCATAATCATGATGGTGGATACCAATGCCCTATCTTGTTTGGTTTAATAGTCATTTCATATGAAAAGTGCTGAATAGTTCCAGTCACTTAGAGATTTTGTCGATTTTTTTGTTTGTTGTGAAATAGAAGCAAATTGTAACAGTGGTTTTTTTTCCTGAAAAGCCTTTTTTATATATCCATCAATTGTGCGGAGGTCTGTAAAAATTGGTATTGACATAATGATGGCTATCTCATACTCCCATTTGAAAACACAAAAAACCCACCTCATATCATCACAATCATTGGCCTATGGAACTCTAGAATAGTGGTTTTTTTTCATCTCAACTTGGAATCTTGATTGGTATGTGAATATTTATGAATATTGATCTTTATAGTCACTTTGTTTGTATTCAAATAAAACACCAGAGAATGGGATTTCTACTGAACGGCTGGAACCAAGCTATAGTAATGTAATACACACTAACAATTCCACCTTTCTTCTGAGCACGTCCATATTACACTGAATGTGACATTAAAGAAAATATATTAGTATTTTATTATTAATACATATGATAGTGTTTTTACTCTGTAATTGTAGTTCCTATAGTGTAATATGCTGGTTGAATCATTGAGTCTACTCATGAATGGTTTAAGACCTAAAATAGATTTATGTGTGATGGCTGACCTCAGACACCATTAGAAACTACCAGTGGACAAACCTTTAATCAGTACAGATAGTAGTGTCTGAGTCGGAGATAATGACGACTTGATGGGGTAAGATGTAGACAGCACAATTACACCTTGGCTTGTGGCCTATCTAGACTTCTGGGTATAATGTCAATGTGTTTTTCTGAAAACACTCAAACTGTAGAAATTACATTAAAAAAACAGTTACTGTAGAAGGCTCATTTGTGTTTCCTTTTGGGGATTTTTTTTCCCAAAAAGTAATTTGACGTCATCCATGTGATGTTTTCAGATTAGGATGGAAATTTTAGGTGTATGATTCTGATGGTAAAACACAGTAGTTATATAAGGTAAGGCCACACTGGTGTAATGATTATGTTGCTTCCCCATGCATCAGTTTAGGAAGAAACATGTGTAACAGGACCCTGTATGCTTCCAAGACACTGATCTCCTCATAAGGCTCCTGCTCAGACTGTTTATTAACATAAAGATAATTGTACAATATGGTACATATCCCTATCTCCTGTGGGTTCACCTCGACATCTCTACCAGTGTTTTATTAGGTAACATAGCCAGGGAGCACTCATTCATGTGCAAGAACAAGACTTTGGTGTAAAAAGTGTTGTCTCACGGGTGATATATACAGCTCCATGTATTGGGTTAGCAGTTCTTTTGTATTGATCAGCTCTGGAGAAGATGGGATACAAATTATAAGGAACGTACATTTGGAATGCACAAATTAAATCTTCTATCTTACTTATTCACAGAGTTCTTGGAGTGGAGGGTTTTGTTTGAACATTTTACATCACATCTTGAGTTTCAATCAATTGTACCTGATTACATAAGTCAGTACCCGAGTGAAGAAATAAGCTAAGTTAGAGAAAGTTTTTTATCATTTCATTAACCTTCTTGATATTGATGATTATCACTCGCTGGACATTACTGTAGCTTGTTGATTGGATTAGTGACACACTTCTATTTAATAAACCTGTTAGATGTTATTTTCCAATATATGCTTAAAATTCAGGTAACTTATTTTGTGGTGGGATGTTGGTTTACACAGTAGCACAGTAGATATGGGATGTTGGTTTACACAGTAGCACAGTAGATATGGGATGTTGGTTTACACAGATATGGGATGTTGGTTTACACAGATATGGGATGTTGGTTTACACAGATATGGGATGTTGGTTTACACAGCAGCACAGTAGATATGGGATGTTGGTTTACACAGCAGCACAGTAGATATGGGATGTTGGTTTACACAGTAGCACATTAGATATGGAATGTTGGTTTACACAGTAGATAAGAGATGTTAGTTTGCACAGTAGCATAGTAGATATGGGATGTTGGTTTACACAGTAGTACAGTAGATATGGGATGTTGGTTTACACAGCAGCACAGTAGATATGGTATGTTGGTTTACACAGTAGATATGGGATGTTGGTTTACACAGTAGCATAGTAGATATGGGATGTTGGTTTACACAGTAGATATGGGATGTTGGTTTACACAGCAGCACAGTAGATATGGGATGTTGGTTTACACAGTAGATATGGGATGTTGGTTTACACAGTAGATATGGGATGTTGGTTTACACAGTAGATGTTGGTTTACACAGTAGATATGGGATGTTGGTTTACACAGTAGATATGGGATGTTGGTTTACACAGTAGATATGGGATGTTGGTTTACACAGTAGATATGGGATGTTGGTTTACACAGTAGATATGGGATGTTGGTTTACACAGTAGATATGGGATGTTGGTTTACACAGTAGATATGGGATGTTGGTTTACACCAGATTATTACAGATAAAATCATAAGAAGTAGGCTGTTGTGTATAAACAGAGATTTGTAAGCTCTGTTAATTGTTGTAATCTATTACAATTCCGTGCTTTATTTGGTCGTGTGCCGAAGAACCATGTGTAGTCCTAAGTAAAAATCAATGTGGAGGCCACACAGTAAAGGAGAACACAGTGCTTCGTACTGCATGAAACCATCAAATGACATCTAGTTTCACTTCCCTGGAGTCAATATAGTACAACTGTGGTCATGTGCTATGATATGCACCCTAACTGTTTTCATGCAACCAACAAATTATTACTACTTGCTTATGAGTTTTAAGTAATCTTAACTACTGATCAGAAATATTTCATGAGGATATATATTTTAACAGAGAGGAAAGAACATCTGATGAAAAAGATGATGGAAATGACACTGACAACGATGTGTTCAGAAGTGGATCAGAGTCCCCACAGTATGTCAAGCCAAGTGTAGTCGATCCCAAACAGCGACGTGCCACTGTAAGTGGTGGATCTCCGACACTCAGTCGAACTCTGCTGGGACCTGAAGACATCGAAACTCCCACTCGACCAAAGTCTTTCACAGTTTCTGCAACTGATGCACCACAAATAGAGTACCGGGATCACGTAATACCAGGTAGGTTCCATTGTTTTCTTTTAAGTGACCTGCCTATTTTTGTGTAAAAGGATTATAAGGAAAAGTGTGATATATCAGTAAGATTGGGAATCCACACCATGGTAAGTTTATTTTCAAATTTGGCTTACATTTTGTGTGTAACATCATTTCAGGCCTTACATTTTTTGTGTACCATCCTTTCAGGCCTCACATTTTTTGTGTACCATCCTTTGAAAGCGTCACATTTTGTGTGTACCATCCTTTCAGGTCTCATATTTTGTGTGTACCATCATTTCAGGGAAGTTGTAATATTTTGTATATTCATATTTTTGTTATTGAAATATTAATCAGTATAAAACAACCTGTTTAAGGGCAAACAGCTTATCAGTATCCTAAGTAAATTTGATCGTAGTTTCAAGACAAAGATGTTTGAACCACACAACAATTTTACAAAATTTGAAATGGAAATAAAAATTATAACTGCTCTAAATCAAATACATATGCAGCTACTGGAGTTGAGATATTTCTTTGTTAAAGGTATGAATTTTCCAGCAACTCTCATTCTTGTTCATAGAAATATAGACTTTGAAGAATCGTGTGTTTCAGATGTTACAGTCATAAGGAATATGTGCTACAGGTCAAATATTTTTCTGTGAATGAAATTATCATAGCCCAAAAATATAAATTTTCTGCATTTTGAGAATGTAATTGATTAATTTTGTACCATGTGATACCATTTGGACCAAGTGAATACACTCTCTAGAGATTGAGAGAATCAGGATGTGGGTTTAGATGATATATGTGATATACATGTAGGTTACTCCAGCTCATGGAGCCAGACATATGTAGAGCAGTGGATGAATTCACTGTGAAATTACTATGTGAAAATGTCCCTGTATCCTGGAGGGAACACCCAGGGAATCCCTGTCCAGGTTTTCTGTTCTTTTATTTAGGCTTCTCATTATCCCTCTTATAATGATTTCCTTACAAATTTATTGTCCATCAAGATTATTTATAATACTGTCACTAGGATATGTATTCGTCAGTGGCCATGAAGGACTATGGGGTTTTTTTTAAATCCTTCTAGAAGTGATTTATATTATGTACATTTAAGCTTGAAAAGATAATCTGAGGCATCTTCTACCTCGTAGACGACACCTACCATTTAAGTCTAGGTCAATCCAAGTAACCAATATCACATTCAATAATGAGACATATTACAAATATTGTTATACCCGTGCTGTTTTGTGATACGTTTGATCTAGTATCCATGGTGATAAATATATTGTAATACCAAGTCCTGTTTTGTGATAGGTTTGATCTAGTGTCCATAGTGATAAATATATTGTAGGTTTGATCTAGTATCCATGGTGATAAATATATTGTAATACCAAGTCCTGTATTGTGATAGGTTTGATCTAGTATCCATGGTGATAAATATATTGTAATACCAAGTCCTGTTTTGTGATAGGTTTGATCTAGGGTCCATTGTGATTAATAATTTGTAATACCAAGGCCTTTTGTGAGAGGTTTGATCTAGTATCCATGGTGATAAATATATTGTTATACCAAGGCCTGTTTTGTGATAGGTTTGATCTAGTATCCATGGTGATAAATATTTTGTAATACCAAGGCCTTTTTGTGAGAAGTTTGATCTAGTATCCATGGTGATAAATATTTTGTAATACCAAGGCCTGTTTTGTGATAGGTTTGATCTAGTATCCATGGTGATAAATATATTGTAATACCAAGGCCTGTTTTGTGATAGGTTTGATCTAGTATCCATGGTGATAAATATTTTGTAATACCAAGGCCTGTTTTGTGATAGGTTTGATCTAGTATCCATAGTGATAAATATATTGTAGGTTTGATCTAGTATCTATGGTGATTAATATATTGTAATACCAAGGCCTGTTTTGTGGTAGGTTTGATCTAGTGTCCAGCTATAGAAACATCTTAGTACTGCGATGTTAATCATTTCATTCTGGTAAGGTTATTGTTTCCTGTCCTCAAGCGGGCACAATAGCTCCATCAGTAGAATGTTGATCGTTTAGTTAAAGATCGGAGGTTAGTGGTACAGACTGGTTCATGTTTGCTGTTCCATTTTAGATTGAAACGCTGCTTCCTTAATTCTAACACTATGGAAGTGCTATGGAAATGCATTACAATGCCAAACAATGCTAACGGTACAGAAGTGTGACATACGTAAATGCTACAGTTGATCTTTCGAGAGCACTTAGTCATTTTAGAATGAATAATTCAGGTTTAGAAAAAGCAGTGTGTGTTTTGAATTTGTGAAAAACAGCAATACTCATGCAACTATTACAGTTTTATGTTGCAAGTTAACAAGAAAAGCTTCTTGTAGCTAATAGATGTAAAAGAATTTCAGATATTTGTACAAATGTTCAATGTTAATTTATTTTGATATAGAGCTCACTAGATATAAGCATTTTAACCATTACTACGAAGAGGTGGTGTCAATTGTTTGGCTACTAACAATACAATGATTTTAGTGGATTAGCACCTGTGATAAATGATCTAATACACATTCAGATAAACAAATGTAAAAGTTGTGATGCCCTGGAGCATGTATCCTGTACGAGTATCTGACAAACAAGTAACATTTTATAGATTTTATCTTATTTAAGATGTAATCATAATGTTGAAATATATCTTGCATGTAGATTTATTCAAACATTTTGGCATTCACTAAATGTTTTACAAACGGGTTTAGAATGAAGAGGTAAGCTCTATGGTAGCACTATGATAATGGTAAGTTCAGAAATGGTAGGGAAATGCTACAGAAGTGTGATGGGAATGCTACAAATGTACTTAAACAATGGTACAAAATTTCTACACTTAAATTAAAACAGAAAATACGCAAAGGTCTGAATGTTTAACATTCCTTCATATGGTGGTCTGTGTTTCTCAGGATGCTGAGAAACGGACCGGTCTGCATTGCTGACGTGTCCTAGAGTAAGACACCTTACCCTCCCTGCTTTGGATAGCATGTGATGGGCCTCCTGTATATTGTTCTGTGAGGTAGCAACCAGCTACTACTAAACATTCCTACCTGAAAGTGAATGACTCTTCATTGGGCAGTAAACACACAACCATCCTGCCCTCAATCCTGTTTTACAAGACTTTCAGTACATTTAAGTTAATATTTCCTGATTTGAGAGCTTAAAAGGACAGATATAAGATTAAACTTTACATGTATCTGAAGTAATGAAGGTGAATAAGAATGCATAACAGTGTTTGGTTCTTTCTTGGCTCACTGTTGTGTCATTATTTTGTATCAAAATCTATCATACAAACTATTCTTGTCTATTTTTAACTGGTCAGCATGTATAGTGTGCTGTGTTTTCAGACGTACTAAGTGAGTATTAGATTAATTAAGAATATGTTGTTAGGATTGGAGACCTCACTTTCCACATGATTGCATTGTTCTTGTTGGGGTAGTGGGAAGTAGAGAAGTCAGTTATAAGCTGATGCCGATTAGTGGTGTTTTTATGCTGTCAGAATGATGGAAAAGTGAAGTAATTAAAGACAATTAGCTGTACAGTTCCTGTGTTGTGTTGGCCTTTATCTTATTGCTTTGAGCACCATTTCAGCAGCAGCATAGCACTGTTATGTTTATTGATTACTAGTCATTGAAAATGTTCAAATGTCACAGGTTAAATTCATGTGATATGCACATGATTGTACTCTGAAGACCACTGAAACTGAAGGATAATGAAGGATAATGAAGGAAAGTGTTTTATCTTTATAGCTCATGTAGAATATTGTTATTTTACATGAAAATGATTTCTGTAACAAACAAAAAATCATTGATAAAGTTCGGGCTTTTTTGATGCAAAATTAATGTTCTATACCTGGTTATCACAAACAGGGGAAGAATACAACACTACAAACATCTCTGGTGTATATTGATCTTGATTTCTTTATTTTGGCAGATATATGAATGAAAAATTAGCAAAGATTTTCCATGCATTGCCTCATGACTGTATCTCAAGCCTCATTGGTATCTTGTTGCCTAAGGTCAAGGTCACTTTTCTAGTCTGATGTCAGAATGATTTATTTGTAATCAAAAAATACCAAACTCCTTGTTTAACTTCAATGGATACATCTGGCAAAATGATGCTATTTCTTTATCGCAGACATAAGAAAAAAACTTAAAATTATAATTATTACCAAACACTGATGACCTGAGGTCAGATTTGAAATCTGGTCAGCAACAACTTGTCATTTGCTGGATATTTTTTATTTCTTAGATGCCTGAACAAAACTTAAAATTCATAATAATTTGATATGGTACAAATGTTTAAACTGATGAAGCATCATATCAGACTATTGGAAAAATCTGATCAATATGATATGATTTGGACATCAGTCAATTGTTCTATATATCACTTGACTTCTACCATATCCTGTAGAAACTAAGAAGATTTTTCAATATCACATAGGCAACTAAATGTCAAGTTGATAAAGGTCTTTTTTCACTGAATGGAAAGAAGGGATTTAATCCAGATATCATTAAGTGTTAAATTTTAATTATTATGGAAGAACTGGTGAAGTATATGTTATATACCAATAGCTAATATTTTTTTTATTCTGCCATGGACATTCTCAACTGAAAAATATTTACAAAATCTTGGAAATAAAATTTCAATTTCATGCAGAAATATCTATTAATAAATCCAGACATTTGTCACATTAACATCAATATTGAAATTTAGTTTGGAATTTTGACACAACGAATGCCAGGCACGAATAAAAAACTCCTACATCCTGTGAAAGGCCTGGGTCGTCTATTTGTAGCTTTCTGTTGTGAGTCTATTTCCAGACAGTTGTTTATCCACATTTGTCTGGGTTTTGTGACTTTCCCTTGTTGAAGATGTTAGATGGAAGCATCATTTGGTGTTTGGTATAATAAAACTGCCAGGGCAACCCAAAGCATTCCCCTACACACATACAGTAGGGATAGCATGCTGTATATGGTAATTTTATTGGGATTTCATTTGATAAATCTTTTTCAAAATATTGATTATTGTTTGGTTGTCATTGGCAATGCAAATGTTCACTTCCTATTGAACCTGTTGTAAACTTTATGTACAATTCAAAGAGTTACACAGATTTGTATTTGATTTGGATGGTTATTTCTTCCATTTTCACTGTTGTGCCAGATATATGCGGTGTTTCATGAATCACACATAGTTCTTTCTTATAGAATTGTAAATTAGATAGAGTCTACCTACAACACAGGTCAGATAGTGGTGGCCATTAGTGTTTGTAGGGTCTACCTACAACACAGGTCAGATAGTGGTGGTCATTAGTGTTTGTAGTGTCTACCTACAACACAGGTCAGATAGTGGTGGCCATTAGTGTTAAGCTACAACACAGGTCAGATAGTGGTGGTCATTAGTGTTTGTAGGGTCTACCTACAACACAGGTCAGATAGTGGTGGTCATTAGTGTTTGTAGGGTCTACCTACAACACAGGTCAGATAGTGGTGGCCACTAGTATTTGTAGGGTCTACCTACAACACAGGTCAGATAGTGGTGACCATTAGTGTTTGTAGGGTCTACCTACAACACAGGTCAGATAGTGGTGGCCACTAGTATTTGTAGGGTCTACCTACAACACAGGTCAGATAGTGGTGACCATTAGTGTTTGTAGGGTCTACCTACAACACAGATCAGAGAGTGGTGGTCACTAGTGTTTGTAGGGTCTACCTACAACACAGGTCAGATAGTGGTGGTCATTAGTGTTTGTAGAGTCTACCTACAACACAGGTCAGATAGTGGTGACCATTAGTGTTTGTAGGGTCTACCTACAACACAGGTCAGATAGTGGTGGCCATTAGTGTTAATCTAATGATGTGTCCACATGATGTAATAAGTGTTTCCTGTCTGATACCAGATAGGAAGAAGAGACATTTTTCAAGGAAAAGTGTGATCTTATAAAGTGTAAATTACATAAGAATAAATACATGATAATACATTGTGTTGATTATGAAACAGGTTTAATTTGTTGTATATTTCTTATAGGTGAAGATAGTAATTTACTTCGACTAGGGGATGCCAATAAGATAATAAACGCCCAACAGAAACGTCAGGAGTTTCGAACTGCCAAATCTGTGCCACAGTCCCTGGAGTTTGTTGTTAAGAAGCCGACTCCTACAGTCCAGGAACCAACACCCCAACTCAGGGTGACCAGAGCTGAGCAGAACATTGAACTTATCAACGATCCTCCAGATCCTGAAGATCAGTCTGCAATCCAAGGGCTCCTCGAAGTTCCTTCAAGGTCAGCACCAGCTGGTCTGTCATTACACTATAATAAACCAAAAATATCACGGGCTTGAGATGTTACACTTAGTTATCACTCAAAGTAATGAAAGGTCTTTTAAAATATACATTTTTATATTCCTACTTCCTGCCATTAAACTTTATTTTTGCCAGGAAAGTGCTTGTTTGGGATTGCTGTTAAGGTCTGAATGTCAAAGGCCAAGGTCATTTTTATTATAAATAGAAAATGGTTTCACGACCATAACTTGCAATGATTGTCAAAGATTTCTGAACAAAACAGAGGATATATATTTTAACATGTGTGTAAGTTATAGGTATGAGTTTTTAGTTTGTTCTTTTGTTTGATGTTTTAAAATTATATATTCTTGTACAGGTTCCAGAACTTTGCCACCAGTTCACAGGTTACTGATGAGGACATAGAAACCTCTGATACACAGCCCCATATTTCTGCCACCTCCTCAAGTGACACCCTAACAGAGGACACTGTCAAATCAGAAGAAAATCTTCGGACATCCAACTCGCCTCAACCTTCTCATTCCCCCCAACCTTCTGTTTCACCTCAACCTTCACCCCAATCTTCTAGCCAGCAGCCTCAATCTCAGCCCCCACAGCCTAAATCTCGTTCAACACAGCCGCAAGCTCACTGTTCAGAGCCACAATCTCACTGTTCAGAGCCGCAATCTCACCCTCCTCAGCCTCAGACTTATCCATTTAATCCTTCACAGCCTCAATCACATCCTCCAAAGCCAAAGTCTCGTTCACTACAAAGTAAAGGATCTTCAGAATCAGTGATCAGTGCTGAACATACAAACAAGCATACATCAGAACAGGATGCAGCTTACTTAGGTGGCCTACCGCTGGAGGAGGACATAGGTGAAGTGTTCACTGAGGAGACCATGCCTGGGGTCGCGGCTGAAACTGCACACACTGAGACCTTAACTGATCACAAGATGGATGCTAACTTCAATAGTTCCAACCAAGAGGCAAACAACACCAGTGCTACAAACAATTCAGAAATCCTTGACCCAAATGGCAACTCAGCTGCTACAGCCACTGACAACCAAAACTTAGCAAACACCAACAATAATCTCAATCTACGCTCATCAAGTTCTTTAAACAAGTTTGATCCTATCACAAACAGGCCAATACCTGCTGAAAGACATTCTATAAAGCCAACAATTCCACGTACATCAGCAAAAGATGGTGTGATTGAGGCAAGGGCGGTGGACTTGGAGAAGCCACGGCAGGCATCAGACTCCGGAGAAGTAGCATTGCCTCAGAAACAGAAGAACCAGCCGCAACTCATGGGGTACCGAAAGATTGGTTCCTTCACACATGCTGATAAGGTAGGACAAAGGTTCTTTCTACTTACATGTCTAATTGTTAAAAGCTATAGATAATATCTTTATTTTACTTGTTGTTCATTCTTTAGGTGATAATGATAGTTGTGCTGTATACCTCATAGTGTTATCCATATATATATCAGTCGGTCTGTAGTCAGTACATCTGTGACACAGTGGCATGGTTGTTATACCACCTTCATCTTATCATTGCTTTTATTCTGTCACAGGTAAGGTAAGGTATTTTGAGTTCTTGGATATGGCATTCTACTTTTAAAAAAAAAAAAAAAAATGATTGTAATGTAATGCTTCTGCTTCTCTGGATGTGTATACAAGTTGGTACTTTGTTTACTATGGTATGTATTGTAGATGTGATAGTTTATCATTGTCTTAATCTGTTTAAACTCAATAATTCATTTTATTATGTGACTGCAATTCGTCCTACATGCCGATTGGTCAAAACTCTTTTCATATGTCTTAAGATACATTTTGATTTTGCCCTGAAATATGTGCAAAAATGGTGGGTATAAAAATCCAAAACACCACTGGGCATGTCACAGGTGAACACAGCAATGAAATAACCTGTGCTGCACCCTCTGCCAAATCAGAAGCACAGATTATCATCATATGATAAAACAGTTATAAACCCTTTACAGGTGACTGTGAGGATTTATTAACCTAAAGCTGTCCTGAAAACAGTAATATGTACAATATTTACAGAAAGTTGAATCAGTGCCATATTGTCAAACTTATGGGCATTACTGTACAAAATACAAACGACTAGTTGTTATCCAGATAATGTCTATTAGTGTTTTGTATCTGTAATACTGTCCTTAAGCTTCCTGACCTTCACCTTTGCTTCCTCTTTCAAAATCATATTTATTTATCATCTTCCATTTAAGTGACTATTAACTCACATCTGATTACAATCAGTTTAATGATCATGAAATTTATATGACTTATTATTGAAAGTGTACTTGAATAGCCAGAAAGATGTACATATGATTTGAATTGTTTTATAAGTGGTTTGTTGGTTATGCGGTTGAAGTGCGTAGATAAGCGAGGTGATTCACTGTAAATGATAGAGTAATGTCACAAGTGTGGTTTTATTTTGATACCACAATCAAGTCAGTATCATTTTGTAAAATTTGGTGGCCATGTCAAGTATGTACATGAGTTTCTCTGAACTGGTTAGACTGTAAATTACCTGTGTACTCGAGACAGGATGGCTATGGGTTATAGGAAGAAAATGTTTTCGGTAAGTAGGAGAGGCAGTGTTTGTCTTATGACATATATTTGTTTTGTATCTTGTTTTAAGTCTGGGATCTAATTTAGTGGATGTAGGTCAAATCTTTAGATCTTTTTACATACCAGTGGTCTCTTGAGTGTGAACTACACAGCTAAAGTAGTAAGAAAATAAATAATTATGTAATGATATTTGACAACAATTAAAGTAGTATGACAATGGATAATTATGTAATGGTATTTGACAACCGCTTAAGTGTTAAGACAATGGACAATTATGTATTAATTTTTAACAACCGCTTAAGTGTGAAGACAATGGACAATTATGTATTAATTTTTAACAACCGCTTAAGTGTTAAGACAATGGACAATTATGTATTAATTTTTAACAACCGCTTAAGTGTTAAGACAATGGACAATTATGTATTAATTTTTAACAACCGCTTAAGTGTGAAGACAATGGACAATTATGTATTAATTTTTGACAACCGCTTTAGTGTTAAGACAATGGACAATTATGTATTTATTTTTGACAACCGCTTTAGTGTTAAGACAATGGACAATTATGTATTAATTTTTAACAACCGCTTAAGTGTTAAGACAATGGACAATTATGTATTAATTTTTAACAACCGCTTAAGTGTTAAGACAATGGACAATTATGTATTAATTTTTAACAACCGCTTAAGTGTTAAGACAATGGACAATTATGTATTAATTTTTAACAACCGCTTAAGTGTTAAGACAATGGACAATTATGTATTAATTTTTAACAACCGCTTAAGTGTTAAGACAATGGACAATTATGTATTAATTTTTAACAACCGCTTAAGTGTTAAGACAATGGATAATTATGTAATGGTATTTGACAACCGCTTAAGTGTTAAGACAATGGACAATTATGTATTTATTTTTGACAACCGCTTTAGTGTTAAGACAATGGACAATTATGTATTTATTTTTGACAACCGCTTTAGTGTTAAGACAATGGATAATTATGTATTTATTTTTAACAACCGCTTTAGTGTTAAGACAATGGATAATTATGTAATGGTATTTGACAACCGCTTAAGTGTTAAGACAATGGACAATTATGTATTTATTTTTGACAACCGCTTTAGTGTTAAGACAATGGATAATTATGTAATGATATTTGACAATCGTTTATGACTTACAACCCCAGGTAAAGATGTATGACAACTGCTGAAGCTGTCTGTCAAAAGGGACCTAATAACATGAAGACAACAGATTAAGTATTAAGGTCACAGGTAAAAACAATTAGTTAAACTGCATCATGTTTTGTCCTTCGAGGACTCGTCAGTGATGGTAAAAGCTTAAATTTTAAAGCCTAGGAGGCAACTAAGGAAACTCCAAAATGATCAAAGGAAAAGTCAAAATCTAGTTAGCGGGTTGCAGCAGCACCATAATTTAATAAATTCCCAAAGTTTTATGCATCAGATAATTTTAGAACAGTGTCGAGTACATGTGTATTTTCTGAAACATGCCACTATTCGAAGGAATTAAAATGTGGCAAGCAGGTTACAGCAAACCTTGGGGACTTGAGGTCCATCTGCAGTGTCTACCACCTGCTGTCTTGAAGACTGTACAAAAGACACTCAAGTGAATAGCTCCTTTTCGTAATTTTGAGTAAGATAAGTAGATCCTAACAATGAATCAAGCTGCTTGTATGATCACAGGTAATGAGATATGACAACAGCATAAGCTGTATGACAATAGCTAATGACATATGACATCAGCCTAAGCCTTATGACATTAGCAAATGACATATGACAACAGCATAAGCCTTATGACAATAGTTAATGACATATGACAGTAGCATAACCCTTATGACAATAGCTTATGACATATGACAGCAGTCTAAGCCTTGTGACACTAAAATGACATGTAATTACAGCTTGCCTAATGAAACAGTAGCATCATCAGTAATAAATAACTGTGACATCATCTGTGGTAATTGATTGCATTGATAACAGGTCACATCTGTAAGAAAATGAAAAAATTCATAACTTTAAGTTGATTTTTAGAGTGTACAGTATGACTGGGCTTGTCTTTGTACCTGATATATGATAGGCTTTAAGTCTTAGCTACTACTGATAGCGCAGGACAAAATACACCTAACCTGTCCACTACATATTTCACATATTCTCAAGCAACTTCCTTGTCCAGGTTTTGTTTCAGGATTGTATATTTTATTGGGAGTAATGTTGATCAGGTTAGGAAATTAACCTTGATGACTTATGTATTGAGAGCTGAGAAGGAATCGTTTTGTTTGACCATGATTACCGCCCAGGTAACTTTGTTTCTGTTGTTTTATAAGATATCAGTACTGTTGAATTAACCTTTATATGGATTGGTAAATTAGGAAATAAACATACGCAAAAGTAACAAAAATATCTTTTAAGGCTTAATGTTTGAATTTAGCTGTGGAATGAACATGTTCAAAGCAGACAGTTTCGTATGTAGCATTAATGTGTCATGACATTTCTAACTGGAGTAAAAATATCATATATTACATCTGTAGTTTCTGGCGAATAGCCACATTGTTTGAACGAGACATTTAAAGCATGAATGCTTGCTAATTATTTTGTACTATCAGTAAAATTCCAGCTTCATCCCTGATATACTGTAATCCCAATTGATTTGGCACATTGAAATTTTGGCATTTTATTCCTTTTTGGCAAATTAGCGCAAGTATGAGTTAGCGCATCAACAAATAAACAAGACAACTGCTACAATATAGATGTTTACAGTATCATTGTTTACAGCTTGTTCGTAGATAAAATTTGATATTGATAGGATATTAAGTACTATAAAAAAATTGCGTAAAATAGAACAAACTCGTGACACAGGTCAGTATTTACTATAAGACAGTGGTATTAAGGGCTTTGACATTCCCATTGCCATAGTTAACTCTTATGTAATATTAACAAAAATACAACAATGATTGCAGCTAGGCCTATCAGATTTGCAACATGGCACTTCAGCATTTAAAATCAGTTTATATGTAGATGTTAGCACTTTAACACAATTAGATACTTCTTCATTTGGGTCATTGTATCAGAAGGTTTTGTCTGGTTTCAAACTCCATGCACTATTACAATGGGGGTGGAGTTTGTGGAATAGGGCATAATTCACACTGTTATATTGAAGAACAGGATGTGATAAACTTGAAAATATTACATTTTCAACCACACAACACATTTAGGGTTGAAAAGACAATGTAGTATTTAGAACTAAACTATGCAATATTTAGGACTATGCAATGTATTATTTAGGACTAGACAGCATTGTATTTAGGACTAGACATTAAAGTATGTAGGTTTATATGGTGTAGTACTTAGGACAGTACAGTGTAGTATTTAGGACTAATGTGATATTTAGGACTATAAAATGTAGTATTTAAGAATATACAGTGTAGTACTGAAGACAATGCAATGTAGTAATTAGGACTAGACAATGTAGTAATTAGGACAAGACGATGTAGTATTTAGGACTACATAATGTTGTATTTAGGACTATATAATGTGATATTTAAGACTAGAAAAATTAGCATTTAAGAATATACATTGTAGTACTTAGGACAATGCAAGTTAGTAATTAGGACAGCACAATGTAGTATTAGGACAAGACAATATAGTATTTAGGGCTATAAAATGTAATATTTAGGGCAATGCAATTAAGTAAATAGAACAGTACTATGTAGTACTTAGGACATTGCAATTTAGTAAGGACTAGACAGT